TGAGCATTTATTATGTACTACGGTACGGAATCGGATAGAAGTTTATCAATATACATATTGATTGAACTCTCGTGCCACATCACTGTCATTTTGCAATTACATTTCCGTTTCTAATTTCATACGTGCTTCTCCATAGTTACAGGTTAAGTGTACCTATTGCGAACGTTATTACCCATTGCAATGTTAGCAGTTCTCTTTTATATCACCGTTTGAATTTGTGCGACCTGGAGCGGTGAAATAAACTTTTGTAGTTCAAAAGTAACAACTCGGAATCGAAAAATATTTTATGCAAAGCAACAAGGAAAATCATTCTATCTGATAAATGATTGCTGCTTGGTGAGGTTGTCTGTTCTGGCAAATACAAGTATTTGAAATAACGTATTATTTTTCATTCGGTACACCATAAGTAAATGGATTAATGGCAATTTTCTAGCCCAGATAAATTGATAAATTTTGAAGCTACAAAATACTGCTTAAGGAACTAAAAATATATTTTAGGAAACATAAAAATCGACCCTCAAGTGGTGACTCAGAGATAGTCGGCTTGTTAAATAAGCAATTTGTATTATCACTACGCCAAAACCAGAAGAAACATCCAAGAAAATTTGGCACATAGTTGAAGTCTAAATGTAATTTAGTCAAGATACCCATAAATCATACAACTCAGCTCCTGATTTGTCCCAGTGCTCCGATGTGACCATAAGCCTAATTTATCGTATCACCAAAGAAATTTCTCGGTCAAAGCGTAAAACATCGAAACAAAAACGATGCGCCAGTGCGATAGCAGCTGAGAGAAGTGATACACAACCAGTATGGGGAATAGTCTGAGCGGATTAAGCACAAGTTCCCCTGCAACCAGTTTGATCAATATCTTTATATGTATATATAGATATATTGTGATGTATTAGCATGATTACCACTTACTTAAAGCGGGCTTGTTCATCACTCTCTTTTCTATTTGAAACGTGCTCTTCGGAATGTTTAAATGTAAAATGGTATGCGGAATAATGAAGCCCGTATTTTCGCAAATTATTCGCTGTGTCTGATGCTTTGTTGTGATCCTAGCTTACGAGTAGAGGCAAACCACTGGGCGATGCGTTATAGTTTCCGGACAACTGTGATCAATCGAGCTTCGTAGATGACGCCGGTAAAGTACCCATGCGTTACAGCTTCTGGACAACAAACCATAAGCCAATCGTGACGACCAGTTAGAAGCCGTACGGCCCAGACAGAAGCTGTACGCCGCCAAAAATACGAGCACGCGATTGCTAGATGCCTGTATAACCAATAAACTTCTTTTGTACGTTATTTAAACCCCATAATTTCTTCCGGTAAAAGAACGACTGTTCCTATGGCCTTTTCCTTGGGTCTCAGTTACGTAAGATATCAGCGTGCAAGTGCCAATATGATTCAGTGATTACGTGGCATCCGTGATTTCTGATACGTGATTCATAAATCGTGTTCAGTGTGTCCTTCAATCATTACGTGCTTGTAGATATGTGTGTGCGATTATGCTTGTGGATATCGCGTAAATCAAAATACATTGGGACAAATTCGGGGGAGTTCGTCAACCGCGTATCTGCACAATGCGAAGTTTACTTCGTTCGCATTATTTCATTGTCATTGAAATGAAAATGTAGCAGAGTATACGTCCTCTTAATGAACTCTGTAGACAATCGCGTTTTCATGTAGACTGTTTGTACATTACTCGTACTTGTCTCCCTTAGGCACCAACAGATGGATTCAAAACAATTTGCACTATAGAATGCTTCTATCACGTTTGCCTAAATCCTAACTTTTCCGGATATAAAAGTACAATTATCAATAATGTAGACATATATACCTCCTTCGTGCTCCCAGTCAGATAGATCTTCATTATTTTATCATTACATCCCGGTTTTGGTTCCAGTAGTAGATGAGAATATTCATTTGACTGTTGTTGACTTCAACCATACAAGTAATTTCCCTCTGCTTTATTTTAGCTTATCCTATTTGACTCATTCTCCTACCAGAGGCAGCTATATATTCACAAATCATCTCACTTTGTGTTCGCTCAGACTAATGGTCCCAGCCTTCGGCAGTGATGACTGTTTTCTCCGCTTAAGACCAAAGATACACACACACACACACTCTCTGCACATCTAACATTCATACGATCAAACTAGATAAAGTTTTATCTCCGTAACTGTTCATCAACCCACGTTCCTCCTCTCTGTTGTTCCATAACGGTTGCCCAATCTTGGTTTGCTTCTTGTTCATCACTTTTAACTGTCAGTCTTTTCACGGAAACAGCGAAACCGATCTTTCACTTTTGCTGTCCCATGAATACATTGTTTGTTTGCAGCGGAAAAATTGTATCTCTTCATTTGGACTCACTGCAAAGGCAAAAGGAACGATCCTATAAATCTCATCATCCATCTGTTGTATAATACTATTCTATTAAGGATGAGATAATACATGTACACAATACATTTGCTTGCTGTAAACGGAATAAATAAGGCTTCTATGACAAAGAATTCATCTTCTCTGCGGACTATAAAGGAAAAATGTGAACAATGATGTTGACAGTAATAGTCTGAACGCTGCATTTCTCCACCCGTCTAATGATACCCAGATAGCCTCTTTCCCATCTGAGGTCTCTAATTCCGATCTGCTTCCTTTTTTCAACGAAGACATTTTTAAGCTTCTATATTTCTACAAACAATCGTCATCGGCGGGCCCTGATGATCTTTCTCCAGCGTTTCTCAAGTTCGGAGCCGCCCCTCTAACTAGTATGATAACATCCCTCATCAACGAGTCTCTTTCTTCACAGAGGAACCCGATTCTTGGCTACCAGTGACCATAATACCTGTTCCAAATGCCTCATCCTCAAACGTTCTTGCAAAACGTTTTCGTATCATTGCATTGACGTCTGTAGTTCTAAATTTGACTGAGCAAGCCATCCTGAGTCGCTTACAGTCCCACTCCCCATGATTTTCTCCAGTTTGCGTATAAATCCAACAAATCCACTTTGGATGCTGTGTCTACTCTGGTTCATTTTATAAGCAAGTCAGTGAACAGCTCTGCCGAATCTGTTTGTTACGTTTTTCTTGGTTATTTGTCTGCTTTTGATTATGTATCCCGGTCATCCCTCCTTCTTAAGCTTGAATCTTTTGGCACCCCGAGACAGCTGCTTCCATGGCTTTATGATTATTTCTAGGGAAGAATCCAGAGCATAAAGCTGGGCAGGAATACCTCAAATCCTCCAGTCAATGATTCTTGTGTGCTATAAGGCGCTGTTCCCTCTTCGTATCTTTTCTCTGCTTTCATTAGTGATCTGTCAATCCCACACCCTCCTCATATCCGAAAGTGTGCTGATGATGTCGTTTTATGTCAGACCGTTTCTTCTTCTTCGAAATTTTCCTTCTTCACTGAAAATCTGTCCCGAATCGAACAGTTTTCAAACCAGTCTGGCCTTAATCTTATCACATTCAAGTGATTGGAGTGCATTTTTAGTTCTTCCCGCTCCACACTTCCGTCATACTCTGTAACCCTTAATAGTAACCTTTTGTCTAGAGTGACCTCAGCCAAATATCTGGGTGTTACCATGGATAATAATTTTCGGTGAGCGACACACATTCAGAACTGTATGAGAAAACTTCGGTGCCTATCCTTTCAGCTTCAAAAGCTCAAACAATTTCGCATTCACCAACAAGTTTCGTTCTCTTTTGTTAAACAATGCGTCCTCCCTATTTTACTTTACTGCTCCCCTCTAGTGTTCCCCGGTCCATTGAAACAAAACTTCAAAACTATCTGTCGTGGATTGATGATAATAAGCCGTGTATCTTTAATCTCTGCCGAGTCATTAGTCAAAGAACTTTTTATTAATTATGAAGTCTTGTATGACGTTTGCCAATACGATTCTTTCCGACTCCTCCCATCCTATGCATCTTGACTTTTCAGCTTGTCGCTTCCACCGATCACTCTATCCTCTTATCGGTATCTACCCTCTCGAATAAAAATTTATAAAACCCGTGTACCATATCTGGCTCGAACTTTGACCAACAAGGAACGAGTTATAAATGAACCACGTCAATCTTTACCCGAATGAATCTAACTTCGCAGACATTGTTCTTTTACACTCTATTGGATTTGTCTATATTTCTAGATTTTCCCCGGTGTGAGGACCAGTGTACAATTATTAATTAAAATCTAAACATATTGGGGCTTGCAAAAGTAATACAAATAAAAATACAACAAATGTTTACAATATTCATGACCAAACAAGAAGTGGTGAAGCATCACGATCACAGGATGTGTTGAATTCAACTATTTCTTGGTAATCTAATCAGCTGTGTACATATATATTCATATCACGTTTGGTTAAAAGAGTGACAGGTTTGGGTAAGGGTAACACACGTGAGGAAGAGAAATCGATCAATAAGAAGGCCGAAGGTTACTAGTAGTATGAGCTGGATTGGACATTGAGGCCTGAGAATTTTCGTTCGTTGAATAACTTGGTGAATTCACGTTGTTCTATCACCTGTGAAACTACATGTTTACAGTGTTATGAGATGTGTTTGGGAACTTCCGAATACCCACGTCAGTTTGTGAAATCTCTACAATGCAGAAAACTACCTGTAAACCAACGGAATTTACGTCGTGTTGCCAAATCCCACATTGAAGCTTCCGTGCATCGTATACGGGAATTGAGGTCGACGGTGGGACAGATCGATTCGATTTTGGATGGATTAAATCTTGGGAGTTGAATAAAATTCTTCAACTTTATCCACCATTTACAAAACAAGACTAGTTGGTGAACTGAAAAGGAACTCCAAAATTCGCATATGTTTGCATGCGAACACGCAAATTTCTCCTCGAGTCCGGAAAGGTGGTATGTGATGAATCTCTCCAATATAACACTCAGTCACTTACAACTTGAGGCTGTTTCACTTGGTTTTAAGTTTTCTGTTTCACACACTAAGATCAATCACATAAACATCGAAGCACAGTTTGAATACATGTTCGACCAACTCTCAGACCTAGTACCAAGTTCTTGTGATGCACACAGTTCGTTTAAAGCAAAAACCGTGGATCTAGCCAACCAAGTGTGTGTTGCTGATCCGGGACTGACGGGTGTCATGTCAGATCATCGGAAAGCATTAGAAGAAGTTAGAAAGGGCGACGATGTTGTTATTTCAAGGCCCGACAAAGGATCTGGAGCTGTCATCATGAATGAACAGGATTATATTCAAAAAATGCAAGAAGTGATTTCGGATAGAAACCGATTTGTTCCTGACCGCTCTGGACGTGGCCGAACAGCAACTGTGAAACAATCTATCACGCGTGAATTACGTCAATTGCATAAGGATGGCCATATTAGTAGTACTACATTGGCTCAATTCATCCCCCGAGGCTCTCGGCTACCTCGTATCTACGGGTTCTCCAAAGTTCACAAGGATGGTATTCCACTACAGCCCATACTATTTATGATTGGAGCACCTCATCAAAGTTAGCATGATGGTTAGCCAAACTTATTCAACCAATCAAAGAAAAGTTTTCGAACCATACTGTGAAAGATTGGTTTGAATTTGTTGAAAAAATCCTGCAATCTTAATGTTTCTCACAAACACATGGTCTCGTATGATGTTTGTTCCTAATTCACTTTGTCTGTTCATACGCCGACGAACTCAATATTCCCAAGCATAGTCTTCGGAAATTATTGCTTCTATGTGCTAAAGATGTACAGTTCTGTTTTAACCGAGATTATTATCGTCAAGTTAAAGGAGTTGCAATGGGTAGTCCACTAGGACCGGTCCTGGCCGATATCTTTATGGGAAATTTGGAGAATACAAAACTTCGACAATGCATAAAGAGCACACACTTCTACGGCCGTTACGTGGATGACACATTTGTCATAGTGAATGACAGCGCACAAGCACAAGCAATGCTTAGAAAACTCAACCGTTCACATCCGAATATTAAATTTACGGTGGAGCACGAGTCCGAAGCTTAAATTGACGAAAAAAGAGGACGGATCTCCCATCAGATCCGTATTTCACGAACCGACATGGACGGGATAGTATCTTAATTTTAGAAGTTTCTGTCCAATACAATACAAACGGTCGTTGGTGCACAGTTTATTCTCTAGAGCCAGGATAATCTGCTCCAGTGAAACGTTAGAGTCCGATGTTCGCTGCATTTCCACGGCACTGCACGAAAATGGATATCCCAAAATGTTTATTTCAAAGTATGGAGCGCCAACGAATAAATTAAAACAAAGTGACACCGCCTCAAAAAAAGCCGTTTTTGTTACTGTACCGTTCCAAGG